GACACGGGGTGCGGAGGTGCGGACACGCGGGGTGCGGACACGCGGGGTGCGGACACGCGGGGTGCCGCTCCGCCCTCGGGCCGCGGCTCACGTTCTCAGGGTGAACACGTGCTGTGGATGAGTGCGGGGACCCTCAGCCGGGGCAGACCCGACTTGGGCACGCATTGTAGCTCTTCCTTCCGTTTTCTGTGGCTTCCCGCGGCGGGGAGCCGGCGGCCCACACCTCTCCTCCCCACCCAGGAGGCTGAGATCTAAGGATCGGGGTTCAGAGCCAGGGCAGCAAAGTTCACGAGACTTTTACCTTCAATCACTCAAAAACCGGAAACGGAGCCGTAGCCCCAAGTGGTGGAGCGCTAGCCCTGAGCAAAAAGGCTCGGGGACAGCGCCCAGGCCCTACAACCAACTAGAAAGAAAAATGCCGAACTACCAGACGCTCCCTGACTAGATGTGTTTTGAGAATTTTCAGTTCATGTAATTTTCAGTTAAAACTGGCTACAAATACATATCCCCTCCCCTTTTTTCTGGACCTGGGCGCTGTCCCTCAGCTCTTCAGCTCAAGGCTAGCACTCTACCACTTGAGCCACAGTGCCACTTCCAGCTTTTCTGCTTACCTGGTGCTGAGGAATCAAACCCAGGGCCTCATGCATGCAAGGCAAGCGCTCTACCACTGAGCCACCTTCCCAGCCCTTTTTTTTCTTTTTTGCCAGCTGGGCCTGGGTGCTGTCCCTCACCTTTTCAGCTCAAGGCTAGCACTCTACTACTTGAGTCACAGCACCACTTCTGGCTTGTTTTGCTTATGTGGTGCTGAGGAATTGAACCAGGGTTTCATGCATGGGAGGCAAGCAAGCACTCTACCACTGAGCCACCTTTCCAGTCCCTTCCCTAATTTTTTTTTTTGGTGAGTCGTGGGGCTTGAACTCTGGGCCTGGGCGCTGTCCCTGCGCTCTTCAGCTCAAGGCCAGCGTTCTACCACTTGGGCCACGGCGCCACTCCCCCTCCCCTTTTATTTTTTTATTTATTTATTTTTTTGGTCGGTCGTGGGGCTTGAACTCTGGGCCTGGGCGCTGTCCCTCAGCTCTTCAGCTCAAGGCTAGCGCTCTACCACTTGAGCTACAGCGCCACTTCCGGTTTTCTGGTGGTTTATTGGAGATGGGAGTCTCACAGTCTCCCCTGCCCGGGCGTGAGCCACCAGCGCCCAGCTTTTTCCCCCTCCCCTTTTAAAAATAAGTTGTTTAAAAAACAAATTGTAAAACTATGAGTGAACTTAAATTGTAAGTTTTTCCCCTACCAATTTCGGTAGTGATAAAATTGCCATATGCCAGGCACTGGTGGCTCACGCCTGTCATCCTAGCTACTCGGGAGGCTGAGGTCTGAGGATCGCAGTTTAAAGCCAGCCCGGGCAGAAAAGTCCTTGCGACTATCCCCAGTTAACCACCAGAAAATTGGAAGTAGCACTGTGGCTCAAAGTGGTAGAGCTCTATCCTTCAGCAAAAAGAGCTCAGGGATAGAACCTTTCAAGCCCCACAACTAACAACAGCAACAAAAAGATTGCCATAGTAGTGTCTTTCCGTGTCTTATTCCAAAAAGATTTCTTTTCAGCTCAGCTCAGGACTTTCTTACGAAAAATGTGGTCTGTCTTTTTCTAAACATGTGTTTCTCTTGCCAGGTGCGTGTGGTTCTCAAGTACAGGCATGCTGATGGGACTTTGTGCATGAAAGTGACAGATGATGCCGTTGTGAGTGTGCCTTTTTCTTGGTTACATACTCTTTGAGTTTCTTTATGTAATCATTTGTGTGAAGTTATTTACATAGAATTTATGCAGATTACTCACTAGGATACTTGTTGTATACTCACACCAAAATGAAAATCTCCTTTTAAAAGTCTGGCAGACACTATACCACCTGAGCCACACCTTCATTCCTTTGAGGGTCTTTAGACTCTCCAGGCAGGCTTGGACTGTGATCCTCCTGTTTACACTTAGGATGGGTTTAATGACAGGTATGCTCTACAATGCCCAGCTTTATTGATGGAAATTCTGTCTTGCAAAGTTTTTGCCTTAGATAGCCTTGAACCTTGAGCTTACCATTCTCCGCCTCCCACTGATGTAGGATTATAGGTGTGAGCCTCTGGCATCCAGTTTAAACAGACTGTTTAAAAATAATGTACGTCAAGTGTGGCTTAGCAGTGGCGTCTGCAAATGTAAGTGAAGGGAATGTAGACAGTAGACGCGTGTGTGGGGAAGCAGAGCTGTGTGAACGCAGGCTTTGTTATGCATCTCTTCTTGTCGTTCCATTCATTCATTCCCCTTTTTACCAGGCTTCTGCACTCAGCTCTCCACTGACAGCTCTGAGGAGAGTCCTCAGTAGCTGTCTTCATTCTCCCATTCAGTGGTCTCCTCAGTTCAGATTTGGCTTAATCTTTTCACATTATTGTGGTCCTGGGCTCCATTTTATCTTGACTTTGTTTCCTGTGATTGTTTCTTTGTTAATGATTCCTCCAAGTGTCCCATAAGTACTTTGTTTCCCAGCATTCTGTCTTTGATGGTGTGTGCATACCACTTTTTTTTTTTTTTTTTTGGGGGGGTCCAGTCGTGGGGCCTGAACCTGGGCCTGGGTGCTGTCCATCAGCTCTTCAGCTCAAGGCTAGCGTTCTACCACTTGAGCCACAGCGCCACTTCTGGCTTCTTTTCCTGCTTATGTGGTGCTGAGGAATCGAACCCTGGGCCTCATGCATGCAAGGCAAGCGCTCTACCACTGAGCCATCTTCCCAGCCCCTCATACCACTTCTTGTAAAGCAGTCCATTCTGTGGGTCCCCTGCTATATTTGTGTATACTTCCAGATTTGTGTGTTTGGCTTCTATTTCTTCTCTGACCTCTGACATCTTGATTGTTTCTGAAGTCGAGTACCCTTCCCTCGAAGTCAGCCTGTCCAGAGTGACCCTTATGAGCTCTTCTCTGGCTCTTTCCTTTCCTGCCATTAGGTCACTCTGACCACCTGGGCAGAAACCTGGAGACCATGGTTGGTCCCTTTGCCTAGTTCTTTTCCCATTTATTTGAAAAGTACCGATCTTTTGATACACCACACTTCACTAGGTGTTGAGAGTCACAGATTCAAGCCTCTTCCCTCATTCCCTGTCATGAATTGTCCATCTTCATGGCTGCTGTTGCTCTTCAGTTCATGATTGAATTGCCGCATGTCCATAAGAAAAGTCTGCTGATGCCAGGCGTCCGTGTCTCGCCTGTCATCCTAGCTACTCAGGAGGCTGAGATCTGAGGATTGCGGCTCAGCCCAAGCAGAAAAAGTCTGTGAGACTCTTATCTCCAATAAACCACAGAAAACTGGCAGTGGCGCTGTGGCTCAAGTAAGAGCTGAGGGACAGCGCCCAGGCCCAGAGTTTGAGTCCCACAACTGAAAAAAAAGTCTGCTAACTAACTGCATCCTTGATTTTACTTAATTCTGTGTTGCTGCGTGAGTCCGTCCGTCTGTCCTTCCTTCCTTCCTTCCCCTTTTATATTCAAGCACATCCTCTATCATTTGATGGTTACTCCTTTGTTTAAAAACCTTTTAAACTCCATTCTCATTTCTCCTTGGATCTCTCATTTTGGTATCATGTTGTTTCTTTACAATATTGAATCCTAGCCTGCCTTAATAAGCAAGACTGCGTATTTTTAAAACCCAACTCAAGAGAATTACTTTATCTCTTGTATTTCTTAGATGCTTGGTGAGTTGATTCACAGTTAATAATATCACATCTAGCTTTTTAATGGACTTCAAATTTCAAGCCAATAGAGATAAATGAGTTAATAGTCTTACCTGAATTTCCAGTGCTCATAAGAAATTTTGATCAAGAGCACTCAGTAAATATTTTAAAGTTAGAGTAATTTTTTCTAAAAGTCTAACCGTGTATGATGATTAAGATCACTTTATGTCTTTGGTCATATATTGTATTTGCTGGAAGAGTTTGCATGCAATCAGACTGCTTCGTGATGGCCATGTCATCTAAGACCCAGTTAAATTTGGTATAAATGGGAAGAATAAACGGAGACCTAGTGTGCTGTTCATGGATGGGTGGGAATCTGAGTCTGGGCTTAACAGTTCACTGGCATTTTGTCCTTGGAAAAATTTAGGCTGCTTTATAGAATGTTGACCGTAGTAGCCTATTTAACCTAATTGTGCTGTTGTGGAATACAAACAAATATGTAGATTAGTGCTTGCCACTTAATGGATGTAATAAATGTATTGAATCTTGAATAGTCTATTGAGAAAATGTGTAATTGTCCCAGAGTGGCTAAGTGTACCTGCTGGAGAGAAACTTATACCGTCTTAGAAATGAGAATGGAGAAGATGCAGGCTTGCCTCCAGCGATGGCTTTGGCCCCTAGTAATGATGGAGCATCATTAACAGTACTTCTTAAGCAGTATCAGAAATATTAAGTATTACTGACTCCTATGGTAAGATCCAAATATGAAAAAGTTCTTGTTCCCTTTTTTAAAACTGTTAGTAGTTTTAGTCTATACCTAGGTGATATCTACCACCACCCCCTAAGTAGATGTATGACTCCAACACAACAGTAAAAATCTATTAACTCTTCTAAATAAAAGTGTGTGTTCTTCCTTCATTGTCTCTTTATTTTGGGAGAGGTGCTGTCCTGGGAGTTGAACCTAGGAACTTCTTGCTTGCTAAGTAACTAAGCTACATCCCTAGTTTTTGTAATCACATATGTGCATTATCTGTGTGTGTGTGTGTGTGTGTGTGTGTGTGTGTGTATGCAAGCAAGTACTAGGGCTTGAACTGGGCTTCTCAGGCTCAAAGTTTTTTGTGGGTGTTTTTTTTGGGGGGTGCTCAATTGTGGGGCTTGAACTTCATGGGTGCTGTCCCTGAGCTCTTCAGCTCAAGGCTAGTGTTCTACCACTTTGAGCCACAACTCCATGTCCAGTTTTCTGGTGGTTAAATTGGAGATGAGGCTCACAGACTTTCCTGCCCAGGCTAGCTTTGAACCGTGATCCTCAGATCTCAGCCTCCAGAGCATCCAGCATAACTCAGATTTTCTGTCAAGCCTGAAACTACCATACCCTCACTTCAGAATTTTGTTGGGTTAATCAGAAATAAGAATCCCACCAATTCTTTTTCCTGGCTTGATTCAAATCATAACTGTTGGGCTGGGAAGGTGGCTCAGTGGTAGAGTGCTTGTCTAGCATGCCCTAGGTTTGAGTCCTCAGTACCACAGAAGCAGAAAAAGCCAGAAGTGGCGCTGTGGCTCAAGTGGTAGAGCACTACTAGCCTTGAGCTGAAGAGCTGTAGGACAGTACCCAGGCCAAGAGTTCAGGCTCCACAACCAGCAAAACAAACAAAACTATTACGTATCAGCCTCCTGAGTAGCTAGGATTGTAGGTTTGATCTACTGGTACCTGGCTTTATCATAGGTTTGTTTTTTTTTTTTGGTCGGTCGTGGGGCTTGAACTCTGGGCCTGGGAGCTGTCCCTCAGCTCTTCAGCTCAAGGCGAGCTCTCTACCACTTGAGCTACAGCGCCACTTCTGGCTTTCTGGTGGTTTTTATTGGAGATAGGAGTCTCACGGTCTCTCCTGCCCGGGCTGGCTTTGAACCGCGATCCTCAGATCTCAGCCTCCTGAGTAGCTAGGATTACAG